CAAAAAAAAGAAACCAAATTTCAACCCAACCCTATTATTTCTGGGTTGGCCCAACCCAAGTTGCAGACCTAATCTTGTAAATTCGTTCAACATTGAAACCTTAACCTCACTGATTTTGAACAATCTTAAGACATGATGGATCCTTCAATATAGGGGACTTATTCTTTCTGGTCCAACGGATAGCACAGTATTCTGTGTCCTGTGAAAGGATAAATCATATCAGAGCTGGTTGTCACATGACTTAGCATCTCAGGTTCAACAAGGGAGCATAGTTGTTCCTCTTGTTCTGCCCAACAACCATAGTTTAGAATCTTCTAACCAGAGCCCTTGTCACATATATATATATATATATATGACCACAATATGTTATCTTGTTGTTGATCTATGTACATCATGATGCCCTTGTCAAATGCAAAATTGTATTTTGAGACAAAGCAGTGAGTTTGGATTTGGACAGTCACTGAAACCGTGGTGCTTGGCTCTGGTTAGAAGATATGTTGGACAGACATAAGCACACGGTCAGCAATGTATTGTAAAGATGTCCCACAGAAAATACATACTATTCTCTGGGCTCAATCATCAAATTTATCAGCTTAATAAATAATCCATTGCTTTCAAATAATCTTAAAATTAATACCTCCGTGACCAGAAACTCAAGCTCAAATTTTGCGAGTGTCGATTCGACTTGATTTGGTCCAATTCGATCCAGTCTAATGTGAATTCATTATAAATGGATTAGGTCCAATCCAATCCAATAAATAATTTGGACCATTTTTGGACCGGTCCAATTTAATGTTTGGATCGTTGAATTTGTTCAAATTCATCTTAATTTAAATTGATTTTAACCCAAATCCAATCCATTAACAGTTATATTCTTATCTTATATCAATGGACCGTGTATTGACTTAATCCAACCAAATCCAATATAAATTTATTACGGACGGATCAAGTCCAATCCAATCTAATAAATATTTTGGACCAAATTGGTCCAATCCACTATATCTTTCAAATTGATCCGTCCAGTCCAAAACCGATCCATTGAGAGAGAAGACCTGAAGTGGCAATTGAAATACCAAGCTTGGCGTTGGCGATATCAATTATCAACCATAAGGTAGTTCTCCTGGAAGCATAAAAAAGTTCGTTTTGGCGGCAATAAATAAGCTCCAGCGGTTTGAAGAATAAATGAATAATTTTGGGTTTAACTCCCCTGGAACAATAAAAACGCGTTTTTTTTCAAAACTGATCTCAAAGAGTCTTTCGAAAACCTTACATTACACTTTACTCATTCTGCAAAAATGCAAAGAGCAGATCGATGAAACAAATAGTTGATGTTATTTTGGACAAATGAAAATAGCCAAAGTTTTAAGGACGTTTGTAATAGTGCAAAAAAACTGCATTGCAGACAAACGGAACTTTAGGTCTTATCATTGCAGAAAAGTTAAAAGTAAAAAAATCGACACACTTTCTACCTAAAAATACGTGTATAGCATATTAAACATACACTAGTGGAAGGGTACACGTGGGTGTAAACTGTAGAGTAAAAGTAAAAGAGTAAAAAAAATGAAAAGACATTTTGATTTTAGTAGCTTGTTTTATTATACTTCTTTGAATGTAGTTAATGGTTGGATTAAAAAAAAAAGATAAATTATATAGACAATTATTATTTTCAAGCATTAACATTATATAGCGCCATTAAATTATTTTTTTGTAAGTAAATTAAAATTTATTAAAAACTAAAAAAGAAGAGAAGAAGATACATCAGAGTCTAGAAACCGAGAACCAGTTCAAGACTCGAAACATGAATCCAAGGCAAAGATATGAATATATTTAAACTTTTAAATATATATATTATATATAATTGAAAGTTCTTCAATTTTTGGTCCCATATTTTTCAAATCCAAATAATTCACCTATTATATATTTTTTTCTGAATTAAATATACGTTTTTCCATAATTCAAAAAAAAAATGCAATTCAAGATGTTTTCTTTGAAAAAAGCATCAATAGACATATGTTATAGATAAATTTGCTAATCATGGGGTGTTTGGTACATCATTGTGTTGCAGTTGCATTTTGGTTGATCAATGCAAACTTGTGAGAAATATGTATTATAACATCATATGACAACAAATAGAAATATGCATATATGTAAAAAATATTAAATTTGACGTTTTAGGTAAAAATAGTAATTAGTATTGATCAATTTAAAATATTTTCAAAAAAATCAAGTGAAAAAATCTCTCCTACAAATTTGTGTTGATCAATCCAAATAATAGATAGTGACACACACACACACACAYATATATATATATATATAGGAAAATTCATGATCAGTATTTTGTACTTTGGTTCGAGTGGCAATTTGGTCCCCGAACATTAAAATTCGACAATCCAGTACCCGAACTTTCAAAATGTGACAATCCAGTACCTGTCATTATTAGCCAGTCCATTAATCAGCCATTAAGTGACATTTGAAAAGTCAAAAATGTCCTTTGAATGCCATCTAATTCTCTTTATCAACCATTCAAACATTAACAAAAAAACTAAACATTCCCAAATCCTAGCCTCTTCTATTCAAAAAAGTTGGTGATTGTTTAGAAGAATCTAGAAATTGCGACCGTTCATTTTATTGTAAATGTTTGGATAGTTGATAAAGAGAATTAGATGGCATTCTTAGGGCATTTATGACTTTTCAAATGTCACTTAACGGTTGATTAACGGACTAGTTAATGGCAGGTATTGGATTGTCACATTTTGAAAGCTTGGGTGCTGAATCGCATTTTAAAGTTCGGAGACCAAATTGTCACTCGAACCAAAATACAGGGTACTAATCAAGAATTTTCCTATATATATATATAAGGTACTGATCAAGAATTGCCCCACTTGAACCAGCTTCTTCCCAAACTGATCTACCTCTCCAAGAAGTAAGCCCCTTTACCAAAGACAATGCATTTTTTATTAAGTTCTCTAACTCAACTCATTCTGCAAAAGATGATACATTCTGATTCATGATGGGCAAGAGTCGAGTCAAAGGTAGAGAGTAGAGGGATGGATGGCGTGTCATTCTGGGGCCATTTAGTGACAGCTGAAACTAAAAGGGTTGAACTGAGGGTCCATTTGATTTGCAATCAGAATTGGGATCAGAATGATCTCACTACAAAACATTTGTTTCCCATTGTCTGTTTGGTTCAAATAGGAATGGGAATGAAAATTAGAATCAATAGGAATAGGATTTTATTTCTAAGGGAGGGGGAGGGAATAATGCCATTCCACGAGAATAGGATTTCAATTTCGCCCAACTAAACAGTTGGAATGGAAATGACCTATTCCAATTCCTATTCCAGACCCCTATTTCTGTGAAGTGTGCACCAAACGGGGCCTGAAATGGTTGAACTGGAGTCATTAACTTATCAACGAGGTTGTAAGCTGCTTAATGGTTAAAACAGAAGTTACGTTGGGCTGATAAATGATAATACTATTTTTAAATATTTTATCATTTAATTATTTCCTTCACCACAATCCAAAATAACAAATAAGTCATTCAGTTGAGCTAGTTCAGCCATTATCTCAGTTTGGACGAGTAATACAAGTATTCATTCAATCCTCATGTAACATTTTCTTGAGCCACAAAAAAAAATATGGCGTCGCTCAGCTCAAGACTGAACTTTTCTTTTATGCCTGGTCAATTAAAAATAAATAAAAAAAAAGGGTATCTTAAGGCAGTCTTCATGTTCATGGGACTCTTCTCCTCGGGAAATGGTGTTCTTTGATCCATCTCCGTCTCCGAATGAATGTCTATCTATGTTCATAGGTCTGTCCGTCTGTATATAGTAACATGACAATATAAAAAGAAAGCTTTAGAGCAATTAGGTGAATGGTGATGGCCTGATGGGTAGGGTATCTTCCATAGTTTCAAGTAAGACAATCTCTGTTGATTGAAATTCGATTAGTAATTTTACCAAAAAAATATTCGATTAGTAAAGGTGTATTGATTTGATATATGGATTGGTCCATCTGAATTTTATGGCCCACGAGGCACAAGCCCCTTTTTTGTTCGGGTGAGAGATTAATAAAAAGGCAAAGGCCCACAAGTCTATGTATGAATGTTATGTTGGATTTATATGCCCACTTGGGGCCTTTGCCTTTATGTACTCTCTCTCTCTCTCTCTCATTTTGGGCTGTCCCCCCTCCCCTCCCTTTCCATCCCCATCACCTGCAAATTGAATTTCTTTTGCCAAATTTTAATGTTAACATAACATCAATATAATGTGGCGATGAATTATTCAAGTGTTGCCGGGGTTAGTGCATATCCTTGGTTATTCAATTGGTGGGTCATATCTTGGGATTCCTTTTTTTATTATTATTATTATTTTTGGTGGTGGTGTGGCTGCTGCTGCTGGGACCCTAAAAATCGGCAAGTGCGGACCGATGTGTTCCTCTTCATCCTCTCTCTCTCTTTCTCTCTCAAGATAGTTAAGATAGCTTCCAGGTTTCAGTAAAGATCAAATAAGTAAAAGTCCTCTCAACGGCTGATCTCTCTCTCCACACAGTCACACACACACACGTTGAAGCTTGAAAACGAACTAGCTTGTACGTTGAAAGAAACAGCTGGTTCACACCACTGCTAATCAATTATTTGCAACATACGAATTATTTCAGATCTATAGAGGGTCCCCACAGTGCAAGCTAGGTTGGATCAAATTCATGTCTCCGTGAGTAACTAATTATATTCTTACTTGAACTTTATGAAGTCTCCATTCATGAAAGGTACTTGGATCCTCTTTGACCATTGCCCCATAATAGAGTCCCGATTTTTAAAGCAAATAATGGAGGGATGGATTGGATAGAGACCCTTTACGCGATTCTAGAGTCCCCTTCGTCCTACTTAATTAGTTCTTTTTTACTCTCTCTCTCTCTCTCTCTCTCTCTCACATATGCAGTTATACACACACTGCACAGTGCACAGAGCCAGACAGATATAAAGCGAAAGAAAAAACGGGGGAAGAAAAGCAATTAGAGCGACATTTTATCTCCCATGGTTAGATCCATCAATGGACAGCATCACACAATAGAAGTTCAACTGCAAAATATTTTGTACATAGAACAGCCAAACACCAACCTCAGGAAAAAAAAAAAAAGAACATGAAAACCAAAAAAGAAAAAAAAAAAGGGAAAGACGAATATTGAAAGTTAAAACAAGCTCACGAACACGAAATTAAGATCCCTTCTTCCTCCCTTCGAACAAAAAATTCCAATAACTCTACAACGACCCCGTTATGAAATGGATCAAGGCAAGTCCTATTCTCTGCAACTTGGTCCACCATCAGTACTCAAGAGCTCCTGCATCAAGAATTAAACCAAATCAGTCTCAAGTGTAATAAGAACGTCTGTTTAGTTACTAGTTAGTAACTGCACACTGCACTAACAAAATATATATAATCGATCTCATCCATTCTCCATCCTAATTACCTGGGAGGTCTTGCTGCTAATAATGTAGCCTTCGTCATGAACCAGCAGCTGTGTCTTATTGCCTCCAACAGCTACTGATACTCTCTCCATGGACATGGAATTGGAAGCATCACACTTATCAGCTGCTTTCTTGGACAAAATGTGGGGGGTCCTCTTCAGACCCAGCAGACCCTTCCACTTACCCTTGGGCGGCCTCGGCGGTACATCGTCGTCATCGATGAGGAGTTCATCTCTCAAAGTCATCTTCTGCAACTGGTTGGTGCAATTATCCTTGAAAGGCAACAAGCGACCCTTGAAGAAGAGCTCGTCAGCAGTCATCATGTTGTAGTTAGTGACAGAGAATTCAAAATCGGAAGAGGCGGGTGCTTCTGATCTGGAGCTACGTTCATACTTGATCATTTGTTGGGCGTCGACGAAATCGTTGGAGAAGGAGATTCTGGGGCTCATGGGAGCGCAGAGACCTTGGTGCTCGCTGTTGAACATGTCTAGGCATGCCATGGGAACCCACAACAACACAGCCTAACCCTCTTTTTAACTTGTTCTTCTACCCGACCGGCCCAGTCCCCACCCCACCCCCCCACCTTCCCTCCTGCACTGTTGTAACCTACCCACAAGTGGATGGTTTTATTTATATGTGAATGAGCGCAGCTGGTGTTTGTATTTATATGGAAAAAGAGAGGAGCTTCTGTCTCTTTGTGCATGCTATGTCATGTCATGTTCCATGCCTCTTAATGCCGCCCACAACATCTACATTTGTCGTCTGTGCTGTGACATCCTCTCTCTCTCTCTCTCTCTCTTTATCAACTTAATTTAATTTGGTCTTTTCTTTATTTCAACCCAACTCACCATAGACATTAGGCAGCATATATAGAGTTACAACAGATTAATTTTAATCTATCTATTCTTCTTTTTCTTAGATTTTTCCGAGTATGGGTTGAATAATCTTGGTCCAGTTTTGTATTTGGACCATGAGATATTTATGGGTACAGATGCATACATTGTATGGTATGATATGTATATCATAAATATATATCCCATGTGGGTGATATAACAATGAGGCAACTGATGAGTTTGCTCTATGCAATTATTATTATTTTTTATTTTGTGGAAGTTGTGTGGTTCATAAGTAGTGCACTACTTATGCACAAAGGGGAGGTCGTGCATGAAGTGGGTACACAATGTTATTGTTATAAATGGTCATGATGATGAATGCATGCATATCTCTATCCATGCATGCATGTGGACATGGCGACATGCATGGATGTAACCCACTTTAGGTTTTGGTTTTGAACCAATGGATTGTTACCATTTATGGGGAATGGGTAGAAGGATGGAATGATGGATTACATGGACGGATTGAATCAATTTGGTAAGTTTTAAAAGGGGAGAAAGGGTGACAGTTTCCATTGCTGGGATAGGAAGCAACACGAGTAAATAAAAGGTATACTGTTGGTTTTATTAACTTTTTAACTTTGAGACTTTGGTGGAGGAAATATGGGACTGTAGAGAGAGAGAGAGTTGACCGATGTTTGACTTATAAGTTATTAGCAATGAATGAGCTGGCGATGCCGACTGATCAATGGGATCACGTGACTAGGGTTTCCTTAAATAACTTTCTTCTCTTTTTTCTGGCTTAAAATAATTTAATAAATAAGATATAAATATGAAGAAATAAATTAAGTAGACCCTCGCAATGAACACTCAGCTTCCATCAAACGAAAAAGATTGCTCTGTGCCTCCTTTTATTACCCCATATTTGTTTTCTGGACCAAAGCACGTGGGCACGTGAAGGGCTCTTCCCTTCTAACTAAGCTAGTGCTCTGCTTCTACCCCCCCCCCCTCCCCCTTGCCTTAAATTACGGTAATGCCACTGCCTCATTGTTATCATTAGTAAGTAAAACAAGGACAGATTTTGAAAATGCAAATGGCGCCAACATGCTTCATATGGTTCATATAATTTATTATTATTATCATTAGTAAGTAATAATAACTAATAAGAATGAGAGATTCTAAGAATGCATGGAGAACAAGTGTAAGCACAGGAAATGGGTTTTCTTTAATTAGGATAAGGATTCTAGTATTAATTCACCATTTCTTGCACGGTTCTACACTCACTGCTTTGGTAGATTCAATTAATCCTCACAATAAAAATTTTAATCCAATGGTGTTTGTTTTCATAAAGATTAAGCGAGTATTCCTTGGAGATGGGTTGGTAAGCGTGGGTTCTCGAATTGTTAACAAATGTCAGTCTCTCTCTCTCTCTCTGAGTGTGTCTATTACTATTAGGGTTCTGCATTGTTTTTGAAGAAAAAAGAATGAGGATTCAGTAACTTCTAGGGAGGATATATAAATATTTCAACAATCACCAAGTCAATTCCAATGTACGGGCACATATTATTAAGAAAAGAGGGATGACAAATTACCATTGGATTGTAATCTTTCAATCTGGTTACATTGTTAATAAATATATATTTGTTTATACTGGATGGATGCATGCTTGCAACCCTAATTATAAAGTATTAATGGTGTGAGTTGTGGGGATGCAGTGAGTGAAGAATTCCAAGGGAAAGAACTAAGAAGCTAACTAGAGTCTAGAGATAATTAAGTGTATAGTATGTAAATGTACCAATAAATCATCCTTCAAATTTCTCTCTTCCCCTTGCTTAATGCTTTCTTTTTGAGGCATTAAACTGTACATGCAAGAGGTAACATATTTGTACTTTAATATGTACCACGCATGTAAATTGTTACTTTGTGTGACCAAGGACTCCTCTAGTCCTCATGACTCTTGATGACAGAGAAAAACGCAGAGGGCAACTCAGTCATCATCTTTTGATTCTTTTTGAGAAAAAAGAAGAGGAAGAAAAAGAAAGGAAAAGATACCTTAACTGGGCTGAAAGTGGTTAGTGGATGGATGGATAGGTCACTTATTAGACTTAGGAATTGGGAATTAGATGGCATAGGGATAGGATTGACCAAATGACCATAGCATGAACATGAGAGACAAGAATTTAAGGGGTTGTGGTTGATTGAGCTTTTTTACTGGTACCAAAAGGCACCGTTGTCACTCACATGGTATACCCTTTTTGGTGGAACGTAACTCAGGTGGGCGGCCAAATGGAGCGGCGACAGGTGGCCGATTCCCACATCTCTCTCTCTACCAGTTGCAGAGATTCTGATTTGAGGAGGACCAGTCAAACACATCGGAACTCCTTAGAATCACAGTGGGTAAGGCTAGGTCTAAGGGTGTTTGTCTCTCTTTTGGTCTCCTGCCTTGGCGGCAGCACTTGGCTTTATAGACTTAAACTAAGAACCTGTCTACTCTTTTATATTTGTTGCGCCTTACGATGTTGGATCAGAGGAAGTAATTGCTAATTACTAACACTTCTCTCTTAATTTGGGTGCTTTGAATAATGAATACTTCCTCTCTAAGCTTTATTTAATTGAACTATTCTCAATTTCATTTGCTAATTAATATTATATTTGAAATGACTCTCCCAGTAACAGCAATCTATGTTTTATTCCATCAAATAATCTCTTTCCCTTATCTCTTATTTCTCTTTCAGTTGCAGGAGTAAAATACGTGGCATTCATGCATTAACTAGGATGGGTCATGATCGCAGGACATCCACTAATGAAGAACAATATAATATACATAATCCTATCTCTTTATGTATAGCTATAGCCTCCTAATAAGTTCTAAGTCCTTACATTACAAATATATAAAATTTTCTTCTCCTGACAATGTCTAATACTCTACTCCCCATAGGGGGAAAAGAAACAGAAATATAATCCTCATGGCTATTAAGAGTCATATTAGCTTGCTGGTTGGGCTCTGGCTCTGACATCCTTCGAGGCAGCTCCTCAGCACGGGACTCCGGATGAGTTTCACTTTTATGATGGGTGAGATATGCGATGTTAGATCAAGTTGATAGAGGATTGGAAGATGTTTTATAACTCCCAGCAACCCAACCTATGGACTATTGGTACGATGGGCACAGGGATGCTGAGCTGAGCTGCAACCAGTTGGAATTTGGAAAGCCATTCCCGAGGCATCTATCCTCCCTCCTCCTTGGCTCTTGCAGTTGTAAACATTGCCCTCCACCATGGCACCACCCTCCATAGTCCACGTAGCTAGCTCACAGAAGAGAGGGGTTTGGTGGGATGCTTCAAAAGAAGCCCGTGAGCCAATAAAAATAAATAAATAAATAATAATGAGCATTCAGCCCTGACCGTTGGATCAACATCTGTATCCCCACGCCGACAGCCTCATTGAATCAGGAATCACCCTTCAAGTTGAAGGCATTGATTTGATATTAAGGTGGAGGTACCACACTGATACAGACAGACAGACAGACAGACAGCTGTAAGTACGCGCTATTGAGTTGGTGTTTACGTGGAGGGCTCAAAGCTGATTGGTAATGGTGGTACCACACAGAGGTCACAACTCACAAGAGATGAGATGATCCAGCTTCAATGCCTCTGGAGTCTGGAGTCTGGAGTCTGGAGTGAGTCCACTCTCTAATAACTAGCTTCAGCCTTCAGAGTTGAATCAGTCTCGTGATGAATGAGAATCTTCTTGTGTGTTAGACAAATGCAAGCGTTGACTGTTGGGGAAGGATGGATTATCAACATTAATGAAGGATACGCAAAATCTGTTTCTGTACCTTGGTTTGCCTTCACAACTCCAGATATTGCGGTGACCTGCTTAAATCAAATATAATCTTTGTTCGTTTGGTTCTTAGCCCATTTATGTACTTATATTTACTTGTCCAACATTGATATCAGCTTCTAAACCCGCTGGATTTGGTGTACATCAAAACGACCCACAGATACACAGTCTTCTGGAGTCTGAGCTCTCTGGAAAAGCAGGCATCTTAGCTTTGCATCGTACCATTGTACATATTCAGTTCTATGTGTATTTATATTATTTATTTCAATCACCTAACAAGTAACAAATAGGTGACGTGGCTGAAACTGAAATGAATGGCATCTCTAGCTTAGTGCAGTAGTGGGGCTGAATCGGAAATGAATAGAATCTCTGCCAAGCCAAAATGAAGCAATCCCCCAGGCACCCTCATTGGACGGCACGGCCAATCCGGAGGAGTTTGGACTTTGGACGGACCTGGTGGACGTGGGGTTGGGGATCCATCCTCCCATGTGGCAGCTGGGGTTCCGGTCTACTACAATAAGCTCAGTACGGTACCTACCTAGATCGCATCGTAATCACTAGCAAAACCAGTGTCTCAATGTATATTTTCCAGAAAAGAAAACATGGGTTATTCACATGTCCAATGAATGGTGGGGATTGGCCAGATTCTTCCCCACGGCCCACCCCATTCCGAGAAGTTATTTATTTAGACAGACTGTTGCCTGTTGGCTGTATGTGTATGGAAAACCATTTTCCATTGGGCAATCCTCAGTGAACCAGTCCACAATCCAAATGGTCCATTTACATTTAAGAGGCCTGCAGGCAACAGGCAGCAGGCTGCAGCTGCACAAATCGAGTTTCAGTTCTCACTTCTCACTTCCCTGCTGCAAGCCTGTAACCTGTAAAAGCAGTACACAAACACTTTATAAGGGTATTTTAGTCACTATGTTATGGCATAATTACTAGAATACACACCACAGCTTGTCCGTAACCCACGTATGCCGAGTTAATGACCAAAAGGTTTTAAATACGGCTCGGCATCCATCAGAGGAAGCACGTTCCACTCTGACTGGTCACTGGTGCAGCTGCCGCAGGAAATCCAGACCTGATTCTCTGGATGATGATAGGCAAAGGAAGAAAAACGGAACAAAGACTATCAAGTATCTCCCCCTATTGCGTTTGCGCTCAACACAAGCAGGTCTATCAATCCTGAGGGTACTGGGTATCATGACTTTTCCCAAGCCAAAATGCGAGTATAGGACTCTACTAACCACTTAAGGTTGTGGTTGTCAACACTTGAAACTCCGGATCCATAAAAAAATGAATGCTGAACTGGACCAAGTTCAGGTCTCAATTTGCCAACAATTTATTTAAGAAAAAGAATAGGCAACCTCCCTTCACAGTTCAACACACGAGAGCTAAAAATGTGTATTAACCATCATATTAATTTTCAGATAAATCAAGAATAGGCAACCTCCCCTTCACAGTTCACACACAAGAGTACTTTTTCTGATAGTGAGTATACAACCACGCTCTCATCCAAAGATGATCAAATAAAAAAATAAAAATAAATAAACCAGGTCGAGTCTGATGGTATTAGACTATTAGTTCAGTCGCTACGAGTCCCCCGGTGGGATTTATCCAATCGAATCCCACCTTCGTCCTGTTAAACATATACGCTACAGTTTGAACAGCTTAACCCACGGTTGTCACTCATCAGTTCAGACTGAGAATCCACTGATACCCCTTTTTTTTTCTTTCTAGAATTTGCCCTTGGCAACCAAACAATTTCTAGATGCTTGTCATCTATTGCTCCCCAAGCATGTCATTTCTTGGAAGATGCAAAGCTCTAAAGATGTCAATATCGGAACTTATTTTAGGGAAATCCTAACCAAAGAATTGACTAGGAATTTTTAGAATGAAAAAAAAAATGAAGGAACTTTAGCTGCCAATGAATTACATAAAATCATCATCATGTTCTTCAGAATTGGCAGACAATCTTTTCAGTGGTAACTTATTCCCGTTAGATATTTTTGGCTTTGTTTGCGCATGCATTGTGCCTTTCAGAGACGTTCTCAAAAATTTTACAGACGCCCCTGTAGTGGGCCGTAATGTGGCAATTGATGGGTTCCTCATAGGATCTCCATTGGAACAGACCATGGGGTTCAGCCGTAGATGTTGACGCAATGAGGAATTTTGACTACGGATCGCCTTTGAATCAGAGTCTTCTTTTTGTTCTACCTCTCTTTGAGTTTTTGACCTCCCCACTGATTCAACAGGTGTAAGCTTTCCATCCACTTGGTTTGTGAAAACAAATGTGACCTGCAGCAACCAAGATTAGCTTAAAACAATATACATCAAATATATTCAACTCCTAGGAAGAGGTAAAATTTACAACTTCGAATACCAATCACCCAGGTCACTAGGAAAGTGCCTAAGCACCTCAGTTTACAGCCTCCTTCATCGCCTGGCTTTGCTTAGGAATTTTAAGAACGCTGCTTTAATCAAACATCATGTACTACAATATACAACATTAGGCTCCAAATAATATAAAGGTGTACTTGGTCTCATAGGGTGCTTGCTCTCTAATGGACAACAGGTCATGGACATACAATGTAATGTGCATAGAAAACAATTGGCTGCATAATGATGAGTTGAGAAGAAAGTAAGAAAACTAATCGAGGGCTGGCTCGCTGGTGTGTAATTTGTTCCAGTGTTGATGCAGAATCAAATCCCACAACCAGCACTTTGAGGAAAAAAGGGGTAGGGGGAAGTTATTAATGGTGCATAGCACCGAATACCGAAAAAAGAGAAGAAAATAAGCATATTGTATAAGAAATCTTCAAACCAAGAAAACATTGTTTTGGTGACAACCAATAAATGCAAAGAGTTGCTTTTCTATATCCAATTAATCAACTAGTGTGTAATCTGTTGAATAATGAATTGACTCAATAGGAACAGAAAACTAATTCTCCCACTCAATGATAGTTGAATGTTAAAAAAAATCGAAAATTTGCATACTCAGCCACTAATGTTAATTTCCTGATCTGAAAAATGACGGATGATGGCTACTGGTTTTAGAAACTTAGTGATGCTTAAGCTTCGTGAGGACAGTAATCAGTTTTCTCAAAATATAATCAAACTAAAAATATAAGTTTGAATTTATAACGCACCTCATCACCAGCAGAACATTGAAAAATTGCATCAGGTACTGACATTGGAAAAGGATGATGCCCCCAACTTTCTAGATCTTCTTCTAGAGGGGCTCCAAGCTGAAAACAGATGTTTCAGTCAGAAGAATAGAAGCAAAAAAAAGACACTTGAATATAGGATGAATGAACTAAGAATTACCTGCTTCTCTGAGCTTTTCAACTTATGCAAGCATCCAGCAATTTCAGCAAATCCACCTATATCTGAAGTGCCTTCACCAGAATGACAAACTCCATGTGTTGAATTGACACCTTCAACCTCTCTTGCGATCTCAGGACCATCATCTATCTCTAATGCATGTGTTCTACAACGAGTGCAGTTCATCTTTTCATGAATCTCAGACCTGCATAAACAGTAAGAGATCAGAATTAATATGCATAGATGAAAAGAAACCAACTTGCTAATAGAGCCTTAAAAGCACAAAGATCCGGGAGTAAAACTTCATGATACAGAGAAGAACACAACTTTTCAGACCCTCATTGTTTTACTAAGTTGAGAAAGTGATGTCTATTATATAAATAGTTCTCTTTTTTKTCTTTTCAATAACAAGATTGCATTGCATCTGTTAGAATGAGTCGAATAGGGGTAGTTTAGTAATCTCATGTCAGTTAAGTACTTTACTTATGTGGCTGTTTTATTAGAGTACTCTGCCCCACACTTAATTGAGGGCAGTTTAGTCTTTGTAAGTGTAATTAGAACCTAATAAACATTAGAGGGTCAACTGAATGGGAGACTAATCAGTTTCGACTAAACCCTCCTGTTTTCTCTTTCTCTTATCTTCTTCCTCATCTTCTTCTTCCTTCTTCACTGGTTCGGGTTACTGTAGCTGCTCCAAAACATGGTATCAGAGCGAGGTTTCTGACCTGCTTCTGCTTGTAAAGCATCTCAGCTGTGTTCGTGACACCTTCCTCTTCGTTTCTGGTTAGCTAATGGAGAGAGCTGGTTCGCCCTAGGTCTGAGACATCAC